AAAAAAAAAAAAAAAGGAAAGAAAAAGAAAAAAAAGAACTGTGTTCCCTGAGCACTCCACTTGGATTATTTTTCCTCCTGCTCTTTTGCCATCCGGTTCTGCAGATGTTGCATGGCTCCTGCTACCCACCTTCAGAGAAGAGGAGGAGAAAGAGAGTGTGTGTGTGCGTGCGCGTGTGTGTGTGTGTGTGTGTGTGTGTGTGTGTGTGTGTGAGGGGGGAGGTGTGAGTTATCTAGCAATAGGATTTTATTCCGGATTTTACCTACTTGCTCCCCCTTCCCTCTTTATTTTCCGAGGGGGAAGGGGAAGCAACCCAACCCCAGTGTGCAGTTATTTTATTTTAGGGAAATCTCAGGCTCATCACTTGGAAGGTTTGGGGCTTTTTTCTGAAAGGGTTAAAAAAGGAAAAACAAATGCAACCCAGTAAATAAATAAATACATATATGCATGTGTAGAAAATAAATAAATCCCTGTCTGCGGAAAGAGCTGCTCTCCGAGGGAGGACTGGATGTCTCCCTAGTGCTGTTGCCGCAGCTCCTGTGGAGTTTTGCTGCTCATTGCAAAGTCACAAGAGGAGGGGAGGAGAGAGGGAGCTTGTGGATGGGGAGGGGGACTCTCCGGACAAATTGAGATCCTGACGTCATGGCTGACAACATTAACCCCTGCTGGCTTGAAGAGGGGATTTTTTTTTTCTTTTTTTCCCAGGAAGGTGGGAGCAGGGGAGAGGATGGGAAAGGTGATGGCATTTTGGCGAGTGGGGGGGGATGCGCCTGGACAGGAGTGGCTCAGCTGCAAGTGCTGGTGGGTGCTGTGGTTGCCTGAAATAGTGTGATCAGCAAATGCTGAGCTTCATCCTCATCAGAAGGTGATTTACTGAGACCTTCTTCATGCCACAGGGCAGAGTGGCCTGGTGGCCTCCTCCTGGGGCACTGGGGAAGATCTGAAGCCTCTGGTGGGGCTGGAGATTTCCCCAGGCCAGGGAAGCCCAGCTCAGCAGGGATGCTCAGCTTTACCTGGAGGGTGCTGTGTTATGGGTACAATACAGTTTGTGGGAAAAGGGAGCCTCAACTTCCAGAAATGCTGCCGAGGATCAGTTCCTGGTGCTTGTGGCTTTGCCTGCTGCAACAGTAACAGCCATTGAAAGCTTCACAGTCACAATCTCCTGTGCATCAGCTTTTGATCTTTATCTTTAAAAAGTGATATAATTAAGGACCTCTACATCCCTACATCAGGCATGCAGTAATGTCTTTCCATGGAGGATTTTTTCCCAAGAAGACATCCAGCAGCACTTTGAAGGCAGAGCAGAAACCATGGCTCGAGGAGGAAATGTCCAAGCTCTCGCAACAGGACCGTCCCAGATGCTGTCCTGTCTGTGCCTGCCTGGCAGCTCAGAGCAGACCCTCTGAGCAGGTAAGTCTCCCCTCCCCTGGTGCTGGCTGACACCTGTGTGTGGATGGTCTCCAAAACCTTCTGGGCCAAGAGGTCAGAGCAGATGTGTCACTGCAGCTGGGCAAAACGAGGTCAAAATGCCTCTGAAGAGGCACAGGGGCTGCCTGGCAGCACCCGCATCCTGCCCTTCCCTAGGGGGAGATCTGCCCCAGCCCTGGCTGAGCACATCCTTGTCTCTGGGGTTCATAATGCTCCCTTCCCTCATGCTTGGCATGGCGCTTTGTGGTTCCCTCATCAGAGGCACACCACAGGTCAGGTACTCTGCACATCTCCTTCTCCCGAAAAGGGGGATGCAATGCCACCATTCTGAAGAGCTTTCCTGTTGCAGGCCAGGTTGAGGTGTTGCGATGCAGAGACATTTGAAAAGCTGGGTTGTGTGATGCACTGTCCCAGTGTCACAGGTCAGGCCACCTCCTCTGCAGCTCCTGTCACAGCAAGGAGGTCCTGGGGGCAGCCAGCATGCAAGGCTTGTGTGGAAAATGAGGGCTCCAGGAAGGTTTTGCATCTACAGTGAGGCTGTGCTAGAACAGGAGGGGAAAAAGCCTTCTCACCTGCTGCTGAGGCTGGTGGAAAATGATCTCTGCTTGATTTAGCGCCTGGATCACCCCTGCTTTTCCAGACCTCCCCGAGTTAAGCTCAGAGCAGTGATCTCCCGCTGTGTTTTCTCTCAGGCCAAAGCTGATAAGTGGCACTTGTCACATGCTATCCAATGTGTCTGCACAGAGTCAGGGGCTGGGATGCAGCATGCTACCAACCAGCTTTTACTGTAGACCACTCGCTGAGGCCTCCCAGGCTGCAGTTAGATGCAGGGACTCGACCATGACATCCAGCTATGGCTGGTGCTATTTAGCTGCATCGTAGCCAAAAGTAACTGCTGCCTGTCTGCCTAGGCTCTCAGTGCTGAGCCGACTGTTGTGCCCAGGGTGGATGCCCCCAGGACGTGCCCTAGCTTCGCCATGCCCTGGTGTCATGAGCAATACATGCTTTGTCAACTCCCCAGAAAGCTTATGGCTCCCCAGTTCCTGTGGCTGGGTCCACCTTCACTAAAGGGCTATGGGGAGATGGGCCAAAGAAATAGGATTTCCCCATGTGCCTGTTGAAGACGAGGAACCAGCCCAGCAGAACTGGGCTGTGCTTGGTCAGGCTCAACCCCAACTTGAAAAGCAGCTGGTCCCACTGTTTTCATGGGGCAGTTTGTCTCCTGCATGGTCACTTGTGCCTCCCTCAGCATGCCTGGCTCTGCAGTGCAGGGCACAGCCAGCCTGGCACGGATATGCCAAGGTCCCTTGAGATCCCCCCACATGCACATGTACCCCTAGGAGCCTTGGGCCCAGAATAAGCTGCCCCAGCACCTCTCGGGTGCCGACCATTGTACAGGTACAGTATTTTCCTCTGCTGCTGCTGCCAGCACACAGGTCTCCTGGCAGTAGTGTGTTTCTGAAGCACTATTCTGAATTAAGCTGCTGGGTGCCAGGGAGGGGCTTTTGGGGAGACGAAAAGCATTTGCCTCTGCCAAGGCTCTGGGCACCAGAGGCCCCATTTAGCCCCTCCTGGGCACTTCCACTCCTCCCTTTTCTGTCCCCTTAGCGCTACTCTCTCCCACCAGCTATGATTGCATGTTACTGGCATAAAGGTAAGTGGAAAGCAAATGTCAGAGGCATACATGAAGAGGAAAAATTATGCTC